CATTAGTGGATCCCGTGATATTGTAAAATTTTCATCCAATATCTAACCCACTCTTTTGGGGGAAGTTAATGAAAATATAGTTGTATAACAGTTTCAGAGGATTTGGATGGAACAAATTATTTAATCTTTTTCAGTCAGGATTCAGAACTGGATATAGAATGAAACGGTATTGGTTATGTTTTTGAATGATCTCTGGCATGAGTAGGATGGAGGTTGTGCATCCATCTTTGTTTACTTGACATCTAGGCAATTTTTAGTATCACTGACCATGGTATTTTTTTGGATTGTCTCAGAGGATTAGGGTGATGTTATGTTGGTTCACCTTCTTTTTCTGGAGTCACTTCCAGTAGGTGTATTGGGGAAGAGAAATTCCATCCTCAGCTCCTACTGTGTGGGTTGCCCCAAGGATTGGTGCTCTCTCCTCCTTTGTTTAACATTTACATGAGGCTGCTGGGTGAGTTCATCTGTCACCATGAGATGCAGTATAATTTACAGTGCATTCAGAAAGTATTCAGACCCCCTTCACTTTTTTCTTCAGGCAGGAAACCCTATACCATTTTGGACAAATGGCTGTCCAGTCTCTTCTTAAAAACTTCCAGTGTTGGAGCATTCACCGCTTCTGGAGGCAGGTTGTTCCACTGGTTAATTGTTCTAACTGTCAGGATGTTTCTCCTTAGTTCTAGGGTTTTTTCTCTCTCCTTGATTAGTTTCCATCTGTTGCTTTCTTTTCCTGCCTTCAGGCACTTTGGAAAATAGCTTAACTCCCTCTTCTTTGTTAAAATTAATTTTTTTCTCATTAATCTACATTCAATACCCTATAATGATAAAGTGAAAACAGAATTTTAGAAATGTCTGTAAATTTATTAAAAAGAAAAAACTGAAATATCATACTGGCATAAATATTGAGACCCTTCACTCAATACTTAAAGCATTTTTGCCAGCAATTACAGGCTTGAGTCTTTTTGTATGATGCAACAAGCTTTGCATATCTGGATTAGGGGATTTTCTGCCATTCTTCCTTGCAAATCCTCTCAAGCTCAGTCAGGTCCCTCCAGAGATGTTCAACAGAGTTCATGTCAAGGCTCTGGCTGGGCCACTCTAGGACATTCACAAAGTTGTCCCTATGTCACTCCTGTGTTATCTTGGAGGTGTGATTAGGATCGTTGTAATGTTGGAAAGTGAACCTTCAGCCCAGTCTGAGGTCCTGTGTACTGTGGAACAGGTTTTCGTTGAGGCTATCCCTGCACTTTGCTCCATTCAGCTTTCCCTAAACCCTGACCAGTGTCCCAGTCCTTGCTGCTGGAAAACATCTCCATAGCATGATGCTGCCACCATCAGGCTTCATTGCTGGTATGATATTGGGCAGGTGGTGAGCAGGCCTGGTTTCCTCCAGACATAATGTTTAGAACTGAGACCAAACAGTTCAGTCTTAGTTTCATCAGACCAGAAAATCTTCTTCATAGTCTGAGAATCCTTCAGGTGTTTTTTTTTTTTTTTTTTTTGAGAACTCCAAGTGGGCTTTCATGCTTTTTGCACTGAGGAGAGGCTTCCATCTAGCCACTCTGCCAGAAAGCCCAGATCGATGGAAGGCTGCAGTGATGGTTATCCTTCTGGAACTCTGTCCTATCTCCACCTAGGATTTCTGGAGCTCAAAATGACCACTGAGTTCTGGGCATATCTCTTACTAACCCCCCTCTCTCCCAAATGCTCAGTTTGACAGGGCAATCAGCTGTTGGAAGAGTCCTGGTTGTGCCAAACTTCTTCCATTAAAGGATTATGGAGGCCACTGTGCTCTTGAACCTTCAGTGCAGCGAAACTTTTATCATAGTCTTCCCCAGATCTGTGCCTTGAAATAATCCTGTCTCTGAGCTCTGCAGGCAGTTCCTTTGCCCTCATGGCTTTTGCTCTGCTACAGTGTGCATTGTCAGCTGTGAGGTCTTCTATAGAGAGGTATGTGCTTTTCCAAATCATGTCTGATCAATTTAATTTACCACAGGTTGACTCCAATCAAGATGTAGAAACATGTCAGTAACGGTCTAGAGAAATGGGAGGCACCCAAGCTAAATTCCAAGTGTTGTTGAATATGAACTGAATATTTCATATGTGATATTTCAGTGTTTTTCTTTTTAATACACACATTTCTAAAATTCTGTTTTCACTATGTCATTATGGGGTACTGAGTGTGGATTAATGAGAAAATATGAATTTCAACAACTGTAGAATCAGGCTGCAGCATAACAAAATTTGCAAAAGTGAAGAGGATCTGAATACTTTCAGAATGCACTATATATGCTGATTTACATTTCCATTACATTTCCATTCATAGTGAATTTAGCAATGCTCCAGATATTTTATCCCAGTGTCTGGAGGGTGTAAGGGTCTGGATGAGGAGCAACAGGCTTCATTGTACCCTGGTCCTCCAGTTCTAAATTTGGCCTTAAGTGGTGGAAGGGATTATGCTATCCCACACAAGTCTTCTGTACAATTTAGAGGTTTTCCTGGACTACCACAACTACTCAATGAATAGGTGGCAGTTATGGCTAGTAGGGTATTTGCACAACTTTGTACTGTGTGGCAATTGTGCCTGTTTCTAGACTGAGGGGATGTAATCATGGTCACTCATTCTTTGCTCCTAGTTGGATTACAAAAGTGCATTCTACACCGGGATACTGAGGAGTATTTAGAACCTTCAGATAGTGCAAAATGTAGAACTGTGAGCAGCTGTGTGTGCTTCTGGTAGAACACACATTATACCTCTGCTTCACAAGCTGTGTTGATTACATATTTGATTCCAGGTCTAATTCAAGAGGCTGGTGTTGACTTTTAAAGCTCCTCATGGCACAGGACCAGGTTACTTGAAGGACTGCCATTCCACCAGATCTATTAGAGTATGAGTATGAGTATTATCAACTAGTAAATTACATTTAGTGTGCCCTAGACAGTGGGATTTTTCTGTAGTGGTCTCCATGCTGTAAAATCTTCTCCCTCCTAAGCTTGGTCTCATATCATCTGAGCTTCCAAAAGTCTCTTAAGTCTTAGTTCCACCAGCAAGCCTGGGACGTTCAGGGGACAAGAAAACTTTTGAAGTTTAACAACTCTTCATCTGCTGTTTATTTTTTCTTGCTGTTTTTAAGAGTCTTTTTGTGGTTTAATTTTTTTTATAATTAATCATGATAATAGTTTTAGGTATTTATTGTTTGTATAGCTTTATTTTATGGCACGGAGAGTTGCTTGTTTGCTGAGATGGGTAGCTATATAATTGAATAAATAAATAGATAAAACTTTGTTTCTAATTTTTGGTAAACTTCCATTATAGACCTTTTTTCCTGACATAAGCTTAATAATAATAAAGTTGGAAGGGACCATGGAGGTCATCTTGTCCAACCCTCTGCTCAGGCAGGAAGCCCTATACCAGGGGTGTCAAACTCAATTTCATTGAGGGCCGCATCAGCATTGCGGTTGCCCTCAGGAGGCTGGGTGGGTGTGGCCAGAGTGGGTGCAGCCTACTGGGTGGGTGTGGATGGAGTAGGTGTGGCCTATTGGGTGGGTGTGGCCAGCTCTACATCATTCACGTCAAGGGTGCCTGTGGGGGCCTCGGCAGGAGTGGGATCTGAGGGTCTCTGGCAGAAGGGGGTGGAATTAGGGCAATTGCCTAAGGCATGGTCCATTGGAGGAGCCTCGCTGTTTCTCTCAGGCCATTCGGGGGGGGGGGCTTATGGAGCTAAGACTTAATGCATTTCAGCATAGATGGCCACCACAAAATTGTACATTGGCTCCCAGCCGGCCTGGGCCAAGGCCAAGGCAGAGGGGGCCATTCCCTCATTGTTTCCAGGATGGTTTCGCGGGCCACATGAAGCCACTTCGCAGGCCTCATCTGGCCTCCGGGCCTTGTGTTTGACATGTCTGCCCTATACCATTTCAGACAAATGGCTGTTTAGTCTTTTCTTTAAAACTTCCAGTGTTGGAGCATTCACAGCTTCTGGAGGCAGGTTGTTCCACTGATTAATTTTTCTAACTGTCAGAAAATTTCTCCTTAGTTCTAGATTGCTTCTCTTTTGGTTAGTTTCCATCCGTTGCTTCCTGTCCTGCCTTCAGGTGCTTTGGAGAATAGCTTGACTCCCTCTTTTTTGTGACAACCCCTCTATCATGTCACCCCTCATCCTTCTTTTCATTAGACTAGACATACCCAATTCCAGCAACCGTTCCTTATATGTTTTAGCCACCAGTCCCCTGATCATCTTTGTTGCTTTTCTCTATACTCTTTCTAGAGTCTCAACATCTTTTTTACATCGTGACCAAAACTGGATGCAGTTTTCCCAATGTGGCCTTGTAAAGTGGTATTAATACTTCACGTGATCTTGATTCTGTCCCTCTGTTAATGCAGCTTAGCACTGTGTTGGCTTTTTTGTGATTGTCCACTAGGACTCCGAGGTCCCTCTCACAGTTACTACTATTGAGCAAGGTACCCCCTATACTATACCTGTACATTTGGTTTTTCTTGCCTAAATGTAGAAGCTTACTTTTTTCACCATTGAATTTGACCTTGAGAGACAGGTTGATTTCCTTTCCTCTCCTGTTTTCAAAACAAGATGAACTTGATATCTACAAATATTGTGGACATATTGCACAATATTCTGCAGACTGACCAGGATAGAAACTAGGAGGAAGTTCCAAACTTCGCTAAATTTAAAGTAGACCCATTGAAATTAATCTCTATCTTATTATTGCATTCTGATGATGACAGATACTGAATGGAGCTTCACTTGTGGGTGGAAAACAGCAGAATAGAATCATCAAGAATGAAGCATGCCACCTTAGTTGTACTTTTGATTTCATACAAGGCCTTTAAAAATACTTTTGAAAGTAGTCAAATGTTGTAATTGTAGTTTGACATTATTATCTTGCTTTTAGAATTATTGCCAGAGGATCTAATGAAGTATATCTGTCATGGGGATTACTGAAGACTAACTGTATGATTTCCCCCTCTATTTGCTCTGTAGGTGGTCTTTGAGGCCTTGCACAATCTGGAGCCTCGTGGTTATGTGGTTGGATGGATCATCGCTATCAGTTTACTGGTGGGAATTCTCATCTTCCTGTTATTGGCTGTAGTGCTATGGAAGGTAAGCTGTCTGTCAGACACAACATAGACAAAAGGATTAGCCATGGCCTTGGCTTAAAGTGCTTTTTGGTCTTATAGGCTCTCTAGCATCCATTAATTGCAAAGAATCTTATACCCCAGGATCATTAAAGTTCAGAACAAAAGGTTGTGTTTTCATTTTCTTTGCTGGGAAATTGAAGGATTAGTTAAAATTATGTCAGAACCTTGAAAGAGGAACATGTTATGGCAGATTCCACATAAACTGATTTTTCATGGCTGGCATTGTAGAAAGTGTCTGTTCATGTTTACATCTAAGCCTGTGACAGAGCCATTGCTTTACTGTTGCATCAGTTGTGAAAAATAATTGAGAACTGACCAGAGGGAAGAGAGCGTTTCTATCAGTCTGAACAGAAGCCAGTTGAAATGAAGTTGTTTCTCTTCAATGAGGTGAACCAGAGAATGCTGCTTGAGCCATCACAGATCAGAAAACACCAAGCACAGTTTGATTTTCTGGTAGTCTGGGGCCAAGTCAAGGACAGTGTTGTGTACTTCTGCCCTCGAGAAATAGTCATTGGCTCATATTTACTTTGAGGCAAGATGACTGTGCAGTTCATAAATAAAAATAATAATACCATTTATATGCCTCCTCATATCTGAAACCATCCTTACTTCCACCGTATCCATTCCCAAATCATGAATCATGTTTTATTCTTTAAAGTTCTTACTCCCCCCCCCCCAGAATCTTAACTTCATTCAATGACTACTTCCTCTGCTCTTGTCTTCCTTACCACCCCTTCTCTCTTCCTTCTATGTTGTTCTGCAGTTCACTTCAATTCAGTTTTTCTGTATAACCAATCCCCTTCAATATGCTCTTTTTGTATTGGACATTCAGTTTTGTATTAATTTATCTTTGATTCTGTTTCCTTGAGTTTTAACATGCAAATTTCTAAAATAACCCATTCACATTGCATTCAACCTACTTTTATCTTTCTTGACATAACCCAGCCCTTACTTTCATTTAAAAATATGCTCAAGCATTTCCTCATACAGCAAAGGCTGCTTCTTTCAACTAACAGTGCTGTAGATCTAACCAACTGAAGACCAATCTCCAAATTTCTCAGTTAAAATCAGGTAGATACTATATCAGCAGGGTGGGGCGGGATAAATGACATAACATGCTTATGATGTAATAATTCCACTTTTGTACAAGCTTCATGATAATCACATACACATAACTCAGGAGCAGGGCTTGTTTCATATTTCTGACAAAGTCATCAAGTTCTTCAGATCCTTCTGAATGGTAGTGCATAATAATATAATTCAGTAAGCTCTGGTAACAGAAGGTAGGCATACACAATTTTTTGTATTTTGTTTATTTATGGAAGTAGCTTTCTGTCTTTGAAGAGGCTAAAGTAGTCCCTTACCTAAATAGACAGTGCTACCATGGAAGAAAACAATACTGATGTTGACAACACAGCTGGAATATTTAAGTAGACTGGTAGTATTTCCAGGTGAGGTTAAGATTCTTTTGCTGATCAGAATCTCAGCCAAATTTTGTGCTTGGTGCAAACTCCTAATAATGATGTCACTTCAGGAAACTAAGAATTAGAAGGTGGCTGCACATACCACCTAAATTTTATGGTTCTGGTCTATTTCACAGCAGCAGTATTTTTTTGTCCTTAAGTCTACAAAATATGCCTTGTTATTCCATTGAATAGATAAATTTGTACAGATAAATCACAAGAGGTTCTAATTTAATTATCATGTGGTTTAGATTTCAGTAGCATTTCAGTTTTCTTCTTAATAACACATCTTGAATACATGAAAGTCTCTTTGCCCAAATTAAACAAATCATGCATTTCACTGTGTTTGTCATGAAGTTGCTTAGAAAAGTGTCAGCCCTAAATACACAGGACTTGCTTAGGAAAATGATCAAAGCACTCTTCTTATAAATACCCCACATCATATTTTTATGTTAAGAAAATTCTTTAAACTTTGTGGAAGATCAGCCAATTTAAAAATGAACATGACAGTAAGGATTCACTATAAATGCTTCCTAACTTATCCATTTCCCCCTCTCCATAGCCTCATGTTATATTACATTCTTGGGAAATGGGAAATAATCTACATTTATTCTGCCAGTGATTTTTGTATAGCCTGTTTTTAAGGATTAAAAAAAAAAACATTTCTTTATCTGACTTGCAACTTTAGAGAAGAAAGTTAGGTACTGTTTCCTATATCAGGAAACCATCATGGCTAGGGGGATATAACCTGGAACTTCTTATTCCATATTATTGTCCTTTTTTTTTATTCTCCAGTGCTCCCTAATGGCCATAGTTCCCAAGAATCTTCAGCAGCAATTACTTAGCATTTCAAGACAGAAAACACAACAGCTCTGTAGTCTATGTCTTAAACTAAGTATAATATAGTTGGAAAAACAACAACACAATTCTTTAAGCCCAGGAAATCAACATCCATCCAGCCTCTACCAATGTATGTGACATGGGCCAGTCATTTTGTACTTGAATACAGTTATCAGAACTTGGTCTTCTCCTGTCTAAGGAAAGTCTGTTTGGTAACAGAATAGCAAACCTCAGCCTCTGTCTCCTCAGAAGTGAACTCTGCTGAAATCACTGGGACTCCTTCCAACTTATTAAATGTAGGGTTATAGCCTTACAAACAAATGGGACTGTTTTCTCTTATATCTGGAGAAATTATGCTTATTTTAAACTTAAGTTTATATTCCTCTGCTACAGAGTTTTCAAAAACAAGATTCAAGCAATCAACTTAATCTTTATAGAGATAATAGAGAATGTTCTTCAAATTAAGTGATCAGAACAAAGTACAGTAGTGCTAGTAGTAGTAGTAGTAGTAGTAGTAGTAGTAGTAGTAGTAGTAGTAGTAGCAGCAGCAGCAGTAAAGTTGGAAGGGACCTTGGAGGTCATCTAGTCCAACCCCCTGCCCAGGAAGGAAACCCTATACCATTTTGGACAATGGCTGTCCAGTCTCTTCTTAAAAACCTCCAGTGTTGGAGCATTCACCACTTCTGGAGACAGGTTGTTCCACTGGTTAATTGTTCTAACTGTCAGGAAGTTTCTCCTTAGTTCTAGGTTGCTTCTCTCATTGCTTAGTTTCCACCCGTTGCTTCTTGTCCTGCCTTCAGGCACCTTGGAAAATAGCTCGACACCCTCTTCTTTGTGGCAGCCCCTGAGATATTGGAACACTGCTGTCATGTTCCCTCTCGTCCTTCTCTTCATTAAACTAGACATACCCAATTCCAGCAGCCGTTCCTTATATGCTTTAGCCTCCAGTCCTCTAATCATCTTTGTTGTTCTTCTCTGTGCTCTTTCTAGAGTCTCAATATCTTTTTTATATTGGGGTGACCAAAACTGGATGCAGAATTCCAAGTGTGGCCTTACCAAGGCATTGTAAAGTAGTATTAATACTACACGTGATCTTGATTCTGTCCCTCTGTTAATGCAGCCTAGCACTGTGTTGGCCTTTTTGGCAGCTGCAGTATACTGCTAGCTCATATTTAGGTGATTGTCCACTAGGATTCCGAGGTCCTTCTCACAGTTACTACTATTGAGCAAGGTACCCCATATACTATATCTGTGCATTTGGTTTTTCTTGCCTAAATGTAGAACCTTGCTTTTTTCACCATTGAATTTCATTTTGTTAGACACTGCCCAGTGTTCAAGTCTGTCCAGATCCTTCTGTATCTTAAGCCTGTCTTCTGGAGTGTTGGCTATTCCTGCCAGCTTGGTGTCATCTGCAAATTTGATGAGTTCCCCATCTATCCCTCGTCCAAATTGTTCATAAAGATGTTGAAGAGCACTGGACCCAGAACAGAGCCCTGGGGCACCCCACTACACACTTTCCTCCATGTAGATGCGGTTCCATTGAGGACTACACACTGAGTACGGCCGATCAGCCGTACAGATCCATCTGGTGGTGGTGCTATCTACCCTACATTTTTCTATCTTGTGAAGTAGTAGGTTGTGATCTACTTTATCAAATGCCTTACTGAAGTCCAAGTAAATTATGTCCACAGCATTCCTCTGATCCACTAATTTTGTCACTTGGTCAAAGAATGCAATAAGATTTGTCAGGCATGATCTATTTTTGATAAACCCATGTTGGCTTTTAGTAATGACTTTGTTTACCCGTAAGTGTTCGCTGATTCGTTGTTTGATTATCTTTTCCAGGATCTTCCCAGGTATTGAGGCAGGCTGATAGGTCTGTAATTTCCTGGGTCCATTTTTTCCCCTTTTTATAGATGGGAACTACATCAGCTCTTTTATAGTCCTCTGGTAGTTCCCCAGTGCTCCAGGGTCTTTGAAAAATATAGTTCAGTTGTTCTGAGATCACATCTGCCAGTTCTTTGAGAACCTTGGGGTGTAATCCATCTGGCGATTTGAACTCGTCTAGGCTGGACAGGTGCTCACTTACCATTTTCTTGCCTATCTTAACTTGTGTTTCTATTCTGTTTTTTATGGCACTATTTTTGATAGGTTGGTCTCTTTTTTCCCTTTGTGTAAAAACAGATGGAAAAAACAAGTTAAATAATTCTGCTTTCTCCCTGTTGCTTGTCACCTTCTTGCCACTTTCATCCACTAATGGACCAATCATTTCCTTCACTTTTTTCTTGTTTTTTACATGTTGAAAGAAACTTTTTTTGTTATCTTTGACTTTGGTTGCAAGCCTTAGTTCATTTTGAGCCTTGGCTTTCCTCACTTCATCTTTGGAGGCTCGGGCTATTTGCTGATATTCTGACTTAGTTATGTGCCCCTCTTTCATTTCTATACTTGTCCTTTTTATCTTACTGTGGTCTGTAATTTAAGGCTGCTATAGCAGCCTTATATATATATTTTAGACCATCAGCCCCCAACCTTTGGGACACCAGGAACCGGTTCTACAAAGAGAGGTTTTTCTATGGACTGGAGGGGGCGTGGTTTCATCTGCTGCTGCATCCCTCCAATGGGGTTTTGCTTGTTTGCACGGACTGGTTTCGGCATGCCA